TTTTTTTTTGCGGAACCAGGGATTGAATTCAGGCCCTTGTGCTTACCAGGGAAGCACTTATTCCACTGAGCCATCTCCCCAGCCCAACAATAATTATTGAAAGACTAAATTCTTATCCTTAAGGTTAGTTGTAATTAGTTCAGGTGATTGCTGGGGGCACTGTCTAACAAGAATCCATAAACAGTTTTCTATATGTTATTACTGTCTGCATCATGTTTTATAGATAGTTAAAAGCTACAAGAGATTAGTTGAAAGAAAATTCAGTGTAGCTTAAAATCATTTTGAGAGGCTTTGGGACAGAAATGAGTATTGAACTGAGCACCACAAATGTGGTTCAGATTTAGAAGTAGACTTTCAGGGGGCTCAATAATGTGAATAGTGACTCAGAAAGACCAGTTTTGGAGTGTTCAGAGGACAGTGAGACCTCCAAGTTCAGCTCAAAGTGTTGATACTGGAAAGAACTGGAAGATGTTGTCAGCTATGTAGAATAAAGTCACTTTAAGATGGCTAGGAATGCCAGGATAAAGGATGTGTCAAATAATAATGCACCACTGAAGACTTTTGGATATAGATGAATAGATACCTCACAAAAGGCTGCCCCAAGACTCTGAGATCAGACTGGAAGACTGGGACTAAGAAATATGCAGGTAAAAACCAAACTAAAACAAAAAGCTAAGCAATGTGGGGTGATAACACCAAGCCAAGGCAGCAAGAAAGTCTTAAAGTAAGGATTGTCTGCCTTAGCAGGAACCCCCAAAATCTCCCTTTGGGGAAATGAATTATTTCCAGGGTTGTAAGGATTTGTGGGTGACTCTTAAAGGAAATATGAACAGGTTAACCCAAATGTACATACAGAGATTTGTAGAAATCCTGAAGTGATCACAGTGGATTTCAGAACAATGAATTGGCACTGTTAAAATGAATAGATTAAGATAGAATGAATCAGGTGTTGAGGGGCTCTGGAAAAAAAATTCAGCAATAAAGTGAGTTGATGGGGCTCGGGCAAAGATTACAGTTGTGGCTGTTATATAGTGATACATATGAACACTTGAAAAAGAAGTACAGAAATGAAATGTATTTCATTTCAAGCCAAGGTAAAGAAGGCAATAGTGATGCTATGGGACAGAGGTAAAAGATCTGGCAAAGGAATTATACATGAAGAAAGGAATTCTTTTTTCTCAGTCCAGTAGAGTGGCTAGAAAGTATTCTCAGCATGTGGTCTGTGACCACCTTATTCTGGATAATCTGGAGAAGTACTTAGTATAGATGATGGAAGATTGTTTTATTTGAGAGGTACCAATAACTGGGACACTAATGTTTAAATGCTTGTAGAAATACTCTGAAATGTTGGCAGATAAAACATCTTGGATTTTGGATGGATAATCATGTTTTCAGTGGAGATCATTATTTCACTATACATGAAGGTTACATCTAGGTAATGTGTCTGATTAAATGTTTTTTTCCAAATTACACTTTCTTTAGTTTCTCCAATTAAGCTTTCTTTTTAGTAGTTAGATATTATATATCAATAAAATCATGTCACTAAGATAACAAGAGGTATGAAGATGATTGATCATAATGAGCTATGTCTGCTAATCTGAACAACTACTTTGAAGACAACAATGTGCAATGTAACAGCCATTGTTGAATTCCTATTATTTGGGTTAGTGAAATTGTTTATCATTTCCAATTTTTTAACTATTCTTTATTCTCTTTAAAAATTAAAAAAAGATGAGAGGCTGGGGATAGAGCTCAGTGGCAAAAGTGCCTGCTTGTCAAGCATAAGGTTCTGAGTTTGCTCCCGGTTCATGAAAAAAAAAAAAAAATTAAAAGAGGAAAAATCAAATGAAATGTTTAATAATAAGAACCATTTAGCATGTGCTGTGTGTCACAAACCATATTAAGTGCATTTATATGCATCATTCAATTAGCAAACATTCCTATCAAATATGTACTTTTATTGTCATCATTATCCAGATACAGAAACAGTGGCCAGAGAGGCCATCAAATAAACTGCCTTACGTCGTGCTGGATTAGTTAGTGTCAGAGCTAATTTTCCAAAGGTTGAGAGTGATTCTGAAACTCTTAGCCACTACACTGTGCCAGCTTTTCTGGCTTGAATAATCAAACAAGGTGATTTTGAATTTTAATACATCTTTTAACACTCCACCCACAAAAGATGTGATTTCTTTCATGTGGGAAAGGAGCAGCATTGTATTTATAAAACATGCCATTGAATGTTTAGCAATCTATGCTCTCACACTGCTGGCAAAGGATATTTTTACCTTCTGAACTAAGCTAAGTGTAGTAGGAACTGAAATCTCTAGAAGCTGTTTATAAACATATTGTAAGCCTTTTGTTGCTTGAAAACCTTGTCATGTCCAAGCCCTCTATGTACATCCTAAACTAAAGTACAGAATTGTGGAAAATTATTTTGTAGCTATTTTAGAAAAATGTCAAGTATTCTATATATTTCTAATATGTCATATGTTTCATAATATATTTCTAAATATGTATTTTAATATACATGTTTCAAATGTTGTTAGCAACAAAGTATGCCTTTGAAAAAAATCTCTATATACAAGATAAATTTTAGAAATAGAGGACATCTGTATTTGTATGTGAATGAGATTTTGTAAGCATCTATGTCTATGTAAACTGATATTTCTGTAACTGACAAGCTGCATGCTAAAATTTAATTGTTTTCTCCAAATATGAGACTAATGGAAAGCTGCTTGCTTGCTCTTCTCACAGCTGAATTTTTATTCCTCTTGTGGGGTGTTTATCTCTGCTATGCAGTGAGGACAGTCCCCTCAGCATTTCATGAGCCCCGCTACATGGCTGTCGCAGTTCACAATGAGCTCATTATCTCTGCTATATTTCACACAATTAGGTAAGTAATACATAGCGCTACTAAACAGCTGCCCCATTTTTCTGATATGATGCAGTTTAATTTAATAGCAAATTTGAATAAGATACATATTGGAAAGGCTTAGGAAGGGTAGTGTTTTATAAGTTTTTGTTATAGAAAATGGCAAATGACTAGTGTTTTTTAAACTTTGTTGTTCCTATTTCCTTCTGCTGTGTTAGTTTTCTGTCTTATATATTTTGACAGTTGTCTCAATGTTCTTTATATATTATATTAAACCACTTATGAAATATCATGGGATTTTTTGTGTGACACAATATGTTATAAAGACATAAAACTGAACATAATACAAACATGGATAATTGATCTATTTTTATTCATGTTTACTTATTGATTTATCCTTACAAGTTAAACCTATTTAAAGTAGTAGCACAAAAATCCTTTTCTCCTTTAGATTCACTTTCTCAGTTTTCTTCATTAAATCTGCTTTTATCATTGGATTTCAAATTCTAACTATTCCACATACTTTCAGAAGAAATAAGCAAATAATTTATATCTTAAATTAATTTTTAAAATTTATTAATAAGGCAATAGGTGGTCATTACAGAGAAATAATAAAAAAAGATCAACCCCTATAATCAGACCACCCCAGAGAAGACATTATTAACATATTACCTTTAAATTATTTTGTATGCATATTTATAATAAACTGTATTTGTGTGGTCATAAAGGACAAAATGATTGAATTATAATTAAATCTGCAGAACACTAAGTCAGGGGGACTGAATGGGGAGTGAGTAATAGACAATGAATTAAAAAAACTACAAGTTTGCAAAATGTCTTATTTGTAGGTTGACTTTACTTATATATGCTATGCTTCCAATATCTGTAATGTCTACCACTAAGAATC